GACGTTTTCCCCGCGTGGGACTTTCACGAGTTCGAAGAACTCGAACCCTTTGATGAGATCCCAAACTACCTTCAGGTACGCGTCCATTCGTTCATTTCGGGTTTCGTAATCTCCACTGAATTGGCTCGTGACGAGCTGAGAGTCACAGTAGGCACTTAGTCGCTTCGCTTTGACAGCATGTGCGAGGCGTAGCCCAGCAATAAGTGATTCGTACTCGGCTTCGTTGTTTGAGGCGGCGAAACCGAGTCGGAATGACTGCCTGATCAACTCGCCAGTTGGGGATTGCAGTTGGACCCCTGCTCCAGATCCCTTGTTCGTTGACGAGCCGTCGACGTGCAGAATCCAATTGTTATTCGGCAAAACTAGATCATGTGCAAGCTCCGGTGGTAATTCGACCATGAAGTCGGCTAGGACTTGCGACTTGAATGTCGTCCGGTTTCAGAAGACGATGTCGTGTTCGCTGAGTTCGATTGCCCATTTGGACAAACGTCCGGACTGTATGGTGTTTTGCATGACGGTGGGAAGGGGTAGATCGGTAAGGACCTCGACCGTATGCGATTGGAAGTATGGTCTTAGTTTCCTTGCGGCTGTGATGACTGCCAAAGCCATCTTCTCGAGTGTCGGATAACGTGTTTCGGGGTCCATCATGCGTTTGCTCGTATAAAATATCGGCTTTTGCTCGCCTCGGTCATCCTTAACGATTACAATGCTGACCGCGATTGACGAGACAGCGATGTAGAGATAAAGTGTGTCCCGGGTTCGGGTTTAGCTAAAACGGGAGGAGTGGTGAGATAAGTCTTCAACTGACCGAAGGCTTCTTCGCATCTCTTGTCCCAGATGAAGCATTTATTACCGCGCAAAAACTCGTAGAATGGAAGGCACTTATCAGTTGATCGCGAAATGAAACGGTTCAGGGCGGGGATTCGCCCCGTCAGTCGTTGAACTTCCCGACTATTCTTCAGACTAGGGAGATCAAGGATCGCGAAAATATACTTGGGATTCGCTTCGATTCCTCGCTGCATAATGATGTAGCCGAGGAATTCTCCCGAAGTGACACCGAAGGTACACTTTGCTGGGTTCAGCTTCATCCCATACTCGTTTAAGGTTTTGAAGCACTCACGCAGGTGAGGAGGGTGGTCGGCAGCTCGGAATGACTTGACCAGCATGTCGTCGATGTAAACTTCCATTGTCTTACCGAGTTTGTCGGCAAACATCTTGATTACCAATCGCTGGTATGTCGCACCGGCATTCTTCAACCCAAACGGCATGACCTTGTAGCAGTACGTTCCTCTGTCGGTAATGAACGCAGTCTTGTCTCGATTGTCGGGATGCATTGTGATTTGGTTGTATCCGGAGAAGGCGTCCATGAATGTGAGGAGCTCGTTTCATGCCGTTGATTCAACCAGGCGATCGATGTGTGGGAGAGGGAAACTGTCTTTGGGACACACTTTGTTCAGATCCGTGAAATCGACGCAGACGCGCCATTTCCCGTTCTTCTTCTTTACCACCACTGGATTCGCTAACCACTCGCGATACTTCACTTCCGTGATCAAGCCGGTGGCGAGCAGTCGTTCGACTTCCTCGTTGACGGCTTTGGATCGTTCCGGACTGAGCTTCCGACGTTTCTGCCGGATAGGTTTGAAAGTCGTGTCGACGTTGAGCTCGTGGGATGTGATCTTTGGGTCGATCCCTTTCATATCCGAGGTACTCCATGCAAAGGTTGACACGTTCTCCTTAAGGAAAGCGAGGATCGTTTCCTGCATCTCGTCAGATATGTATGCTCATATTCTGAAGATACTTGTGGGATCCTCGTCGTCTATCCACACCTCGAGGACTTCATCCTTTTGGGGGTAGACCTTTTGGATCGGTTTCGCGACAGCATTCACACGGGGGGTCGGCTGTTGAGGCTTGACTTTGGCAATGAGGAGATCTCGCGCGGCCTGTTGATCGCCCCGTAGCGTTTTGATTCATCCATCGTTACACTGAAAACTTGACGCACTGGTGATACGTCGACGAAATAGCTTTCATCGAGTGAAGCCACGGTGTGCCGAGTATGACGTGATAAGGCGCTTCAGTGGCGATAACGGAGAACTTGACCATTCCGGTCACTCCGATAGCATAGACCGGAAGTCTAATGGTGCCAATCACTTCTTCCGAGACTCCATTGAATCCAGTAAGGGTGTGGTTGGATGGTTTCATGAGATGTAGGTCAGTTCCCATCTTCTCGAGTGTCCTGAGGAAGATGAGGTCCACCGAGCTACCGGTGTCAATTAGTACCTTAGTTACTTCGCAGTCTTTGATTCCCAGCTCGAGAAGTAAGGGATCGTTGTGCGGCATATGGACTCCGAGCGTGTCTTCGGGAGAAAACGTTATCGGGAGGTCGTTCTTCGGCACGGATGGCCATTTCTGCGAAGTTTTAGCTTGACGTTGGTGGGCTTTTATAGACCGGACCAAGTCGCCACATGGGGGGCGAACCTCCCATGATGACGTTAGCTCGTCTACTTTCGAGTTGAGTTCGTAGATCGTAAGACAAGTGCTCGATGGTCGTTAGCTTGGACTTTGTACGGTTGTCTCTGTTTGCATCGAGCTTCTGTCGCAGATCCTGCTTTTATTGTTTGCGGAGCCTGGAGCGGAGGTCGGCGACCTTTGTTTTCAGATGGCTTCTCAAATCTATCATGATAGGGGACGAGCTGAGTTCGACTGGAGCGGCGAGTCGTCTTCCGATTCGATGGATTCGGATGGCGTTGTCTCGGCTGTGACATTTCTTCGCTTTAGTTTATGTCGTAAGTCGACCGAGCTTAAACCATCCCGTTCTGTAGGCCGTTTACTGAGGTACGTACATAGATCTCCTTGCATGAGCTCGGACATATTGCCCGTTGTTGAGCTCGGGGGTGCGAGGATAACTTCAACTCTTCGCCGGTTGCTCGGCTGCTCCTCGTCGACAGATGAATCTTCTTTTTCTTGTTCCTTGGGAGCCTTTTCCTCGACGTCCTTCTTTTGCTCGGGTCGCGTATTCTTGGGCTGAGACTTTCAACCCTTCTTATATTTGTTTTTGCTCCAACTGTTCTCCTTCGGTTTGGTCTTGGGTGGTTCGACCTCGAATTTGCCACTGGCGACCGAGGAGAGGAATTGCTCGTATAGAACCTTACAGCCCTTGGTGTTGTGTTTCTTGCTCTTGTTGTAGGAACAGTACTTTTCTGGTTCTTTGGGTTTGGATCCCGAGGCTTCAGATGCGCCTTCCGGCTTTGGCTCGTCATCTATCTTGTCCCAGTGGTTCCATCCCTTTGCTCGGATTACAACCGTCGAGCCCGGGAGGTTATCTTCGTCGACCATGTAAACAAAGCTTTTCTTTGAGTTTGCTTTGTCGGTTGGGGCGTGCTGACGTGGCTTTGGACGGGTATCGTTACCCTTCGAGGATGCTTTCTTCGTAGCGTTCTGCTTACTGATGTTTGCTTTGGTGTCTTCTTCCATACGGACAAAGTTGTTGGATCGAGCAATGGCATCAGAAAGAGATTTGGTTGGGTGACGATAGAGGTCGTCTCGGAACTTGGAGTGTACGTACAGTGTTCATGAGGGCGTTGACAACGATGCTATCCGGAACTTTGACTTTGGACACAGTCCCTTTGAATTTTTCCATGAAGCTACGAAGGCTTTGCCCCTGTGCCTGGGAAAGGTTCCAAAGGTCAGACGCGGTAGCTTCCTCGCGTGTGAACATTATGTAGTTCTTCAAGAACACGGACGATAAGTCGCGAAAGCTATCAACGGAGTTTTCCGGGAGGCTTGTAAACCAAGTTATGGCCATGCCGGTCAGGCTTTCGACGAAGAGCTGGCAGTAGCTGGCGTCGTGTTCTTCGTCAGAGAAGTTCTGTCGCCGCATCGCGATGTTGAGGGCCGTTGGGTCCGAGAGGCCATCGTATGTCGGCAAGCGGATCTTATCCATCTTGCGGAGCCTTACGGCAGTTATCTTTTGAGTAAACGGAGTTCGAAGGGTGTCCGCTAGGACGCTCTCGATGAGCGGAGCGGAGGTCGTGACGCCGTGAATCTTTGAGTTGATGTCGAGGAGAGCTTGCTTAAGGGCAGCGATTTCTTGGATAGTTTGTAGATCTGGGCTGTTTCCCGGTTGCACGGAGTCATCCTGGGGTCCGGCCGGCATGATAGGCTGGTTCGCCGGAGTAGGTGTAGGATTAGTGTTGAAGAGAAATCGCCGGGCTGTGAAAAGGTGTCCTTCAGTGCCGTCAGGGTTCGAGAGTACGGCGGCTATGGCTGCGAGGTGCTCGTTCGTTGTCTTCTGGGCTTCGTCTTGACGAGCTAGGCGCTCCATGACGGAGTCGATGAAAGTAGGAGTGAGCGGTATGGCGGCGCCTTAGGTCGGTGCCGCGGTATCTTCCTCGTCGCCGGAGGTTGAAGCGTTACTTGGACTCATAACTTGTGTTGACGCTGCTTTGTTATGCCCCACGGTGGGCGCCAAGTGTTTGAACCGAGTTCGGTCTGTTCAGTAAATGAGTGACAGGACTCGTCGTTGGGTTATTTCGAAGGCGTTTTCTTACTATTTAGAGTCAAAGGTGTGGTTTATTGATAAGAGAGTTTGATTACAAATGAGGAAATGCGAAGCGAGGCGGAGTCTCGCGGGGAGCTCGGCCGTGCCGTACAAGTCGGAAAAGAAGTAAAGGAGTGAAAACCCTAATTCTAGCCGCCTTGTGAGTGAGAGTAATTTCGGATCCTCTTCTCGTTGCCTCCCCTCTCCCTTTTATAGCAGTCACACCTTTGACCTAGCGAGCTCATCACGGATCCAGAGGGCTTTTGCCAAATGGGCCTTGGTCGGCCCGCTAAGTTAAGCACTTTGCATGAATCTCCTTAACTCGGCTAATCGTGGGGATTAGCTGAGATAAGCTCATACGGTCGCTGATTATCGGAGAATTGTCCTGTTGGGTCTAGACTTGTTTGGGCTGAGCTCGTTATTAAATGGGTCTGGTGGGGAAGTGCATTCCACCACCTACAAGATGGAGGACCCAAAGGCTAAGGATGATTCTTCTGTATGTACTCGAGGTTCTCTATTTGTCTCTGGTGAGTCAAACCGCACATGAGAGTCTTTTCTTCCGCAGTCTTATGCATTCTAGTGAACTGTTTAATGTTTACTATCTGTTGTATTTAGATGAACAGAAGGTGGAAGCTTGCTCTAGTCCCGCAAAGTTGGTACCCAGCAATAGAGAACCCAAAGATGCAAAAACAGTTGACATTCATGAGAATGGCTTAGTTAACAATGGCAAAGTCAGTAAACATATTTCAAAAGATGAGTTGCTCTGTTCAGCATGTAAGGAGCTGCTCGTGCGACCCGTGGCTCTCAATTGCGGACATGGTATCATCATCATCATACATTGTTTTGCTTTTCTCTCTTGCTGAGTTTTCCCTTTAGTAATGTACTTATATCCTGTTTCATCCTTTTACAGTATACTGCGAAGGTTGTGTAGTAGATATGATGGATAAAGAGAGCGAAAAGATTAAATGTAAAGAGTGTCATGTTTGTGACCCAAGAAGATATCTCAAAATTTGTTGGGCTCTTGAGCAGTTTTTGGAGGAAAACTTTCCTGAAGAATACTATTCAAGAAAAAGTGGGATTCAGGAAACGTTGGCAAGTAAGTTTTTGTTAATACAATGATACACAAGGAATCTAAAGTTGTGTAATTATTTTATCCTGACATGTAGACATTCAAAGCTATCACAACGAAGGCAAATCCTCATCAGAAGAAAACAACAACAATAATCCTCCTTGGTGGGCAAGCCCTGCTTCTAATGTTCACGTCGGAACTGGTTGTGATTCTTGCGGAGTAAGTACATTATTATTCTAAACAGGTTGTTATTAATTAGTAGACAAACCAAAACGTGTGAATGATACGTTGATGTGTTATTTGCAGGTGTATCCAATCACAGGGGATCGATACAGCTGCAAAGACTGCAAGGAGGAAGTTGGTTATGACCTTTGCAAAAACTGTTTCGAGAATCCTTCAAAGGTTTCAGGAAGATTCAACCAGCAGCACACTTCAGACCACAGGTTTGAGCTCGCTGAGCTTAATGAAAGCGAGAGTGAAGAAGAAGATAGTGATGAGAACGAGGAAGGGCCAGTTGAATGAAAGATATTCTTTGTTTAAGTTAACTTGGAATCTTGATCAGCGAGAAAAATTTCTTTTTGCTAAACGGAATAAAGAATTTTCGGGATCAAATTGGAAGAAAAACAAATTTTAAAAAATCAAACTTCATCAACATATCTTCCAACATAACCTCAAAGAATACTTGCGAGAATCGTTCAAGTATTTTGATTTTAGTGAAAGAGAAAATGTTCATGTTCATCATCACTAACAACATTTCAATCCCATATATTATATATAGTATTTATAAAGTGATTTTTCTTAATTTAACTTATGTCTTATCTTCGCAAACATTTTCGTTAAGAAAAGATTGATATGACATACCATCAGATATAACAAAACTTGTGTCTGTTGAGCAATCTTCAAGTAAAAAGGAAAGTTGTTATCCTTAAAGTGAATTAGATAACAATATCTAGGCCTGCGATTTCGGTTTTCCGAAACCGAACCGAACAGAACCGTCGGTTTGCGGTTAACCGAAAATTTTGAAACCTATTCCGAATTTAACCGAATTAAATTTTGGTTTGGTTCGGTTCGGTTATCGGTTAATTTCGATTTTCAAAATTATTTTCGAAAATAACCGATTTTATTGGTTTTCGGTTAATTCCGGTATAATTTTCCAAAAAAAATCAGATATCTTTGGATATTTTCAGTTATTTCGGTTAAGTTCGGAAATTTTTGGTCTTTTCGGTTTAATTTGGTTCGGTTATTCGGTTATTTTTGTATATTTTTGGTTATTTTGGTTTTTTAATTTTTAATTTTTTTTGAAAATCAAAAACCGAACCTAACCTAACCGAAAACCAAATTAATTTTCAGAATCATACCGAACTAAACCGAATTCAAAACCGAAACCGAACCGAAAACTGAAAATTTCGGTTTGGCTCGGTTCAGACCGTTCGGTTTGGTTTAAAGTCGCATGCCTAACAATATCTAATAGTATTAGGAAAAGGGAAGTACCTGTTACAAATAGATTTAGTAATACTAAAGGACCCCTATCCCTATATAAGTAAGTCATCGATATCAGACCCGGCCCAGTTATATTAGGGATTTTGTGCCAAAAATTCTGTGTTCTCAAGAATTTTATTATAAACTAAAATTAGAGCTCTCATTTATACTATTTTTACAAATCAGGGCTCTAATTCCTTTAGAGAAATTATCAAAAAATAGAGAGACCTAGTGCAAAAGCATCTTGTGCACTTGCCTTAAGAGAGACCTAGGAATACTAAAGCTTGTTGTTTAGTTTTGAGAAGGAAGACTTTCTAAACATCAATAAAACAAAAAAAAAACTGTTTTATAAAGCTTTTGTGTTCGTGTATTGTTCGACTTTATTTGGTATCAGAGCCTGAGTTTAATTTGAGATCAAGTGATACGAACCATGGAGGTAGCTAAGCCCATGATGAAGAAGAGCTCAATACCCTCCACGGTTGTTTGTCCTATGTTGACCTCATCAAACTATGCGGTGTGGTCAATGCAAATGAAAGTATTTTTAAGGGTTCATGAAGCATGGGAATCAGTTGATCCATGATCAGAAGAACAAAAGAAAAACGATATGGCAACTGCTCTTTTGTTCCAATCAATCCATGAGAATTTAATCTTGCAAATAGGGGATCTAGATTTTCCCAAAGAGATGTGGGAGGCATCAAAATCAATGAATCTTAGTGCTGATCGTGTCAAGGAGGCTCGACTGCAGACATTAATGAGTGAATTTGAACGTCTAAGAATGAAAGACACAAATTCAGTAGATACCTTCCCATGTAAGATCTCAGAGTTTGCTGCAAAATCCGTTGCATTAGGTCATACGATGGAAGAACCTAAACTAGTAAAGAAGTTTCTAGCTTGTTTACTTATTAACAAGTTTATGCATATTACCGCGACCCTAGATCAAGTTCTCGACCTCAACAAGACAAGCAAGATATGAAGCCTTAAAAGCCTTCGAAGAACGTCTTAAAGGAGAAGAAACCAATGATCAACAAGGTAAGCTTTTTTTTACGCTAACTCAAACCGAAGATTTGACAACAACAGAGGCAAAGGAAGAGGTTGGAACCGTGGCCGTGGACGAGATAACATAGGAAGGGGGAAGAAGTAACACACACGATAGAAGAAGGGAAAAGAAGGATTATTCGCAAATCACATGCTTCAAGTGTGATAAGAAACGTCACTTTGCCTCTGTTTGTCCAGAGAAGAAATTAGATGACCAAGAAAACAACAAAGTAGAATCAGAGGAAGCCGATGCTGCTTTGTATCTACATGAAACTGTTTACCTTAATGAGGAAAAGGTAATACCCAATAAGTACGAATCCAACAAAAAGGAAGAGTGAGTTTGGTACTTAGATAATGGCGCTAGCAACCACATGACGGGAGAAGTCTCTTACTTTGCAGAGCTAAATCAAAACATTAAAGGAAAGGTAAAATTCATAGATAGCTCATGCGTAGATATTAATGGAAAAGGTTTGATATTATTTGAAGCAAAGACCAGTGCACAGAAGCTTCTTAATGATATTTATTATATCCCCGAGTTGAAAAGAAATATACTGAGCTTAGGGCAAGCTACTGAACAGAGTTGTGTTTAAGAGATCCTGATGGAAGATTGATGGTAAAAGTCTTAAGGACTCCTAATCGTCTATACAAGATCTCTCTAAAGATAGGCAAACCAGCTTGTCTCCACGCAAAGATAGAAAAAAAAGCTTGGAGATGGCACGCTAGACTCAGCCATATCAGTTTCAAAACGATGGCAACTATGTCAAGTCAAGAGATGGTTTATGGACTACCTAAGATCCAAGAAGATAAGAAGATTTGTGAGTCTTGCTTGGTCGGAAAGCAAACCGACAGACCTTTCCTAAAGCAACAAACTACAGATCATAAAGGGCTTTGGAGCTCTTACATGCCGATCTATGCGGTTCAATCACCCCGTCAATACCTTCACATAACAAATATATATTTGTCATAATCTAAGATTGTACCAGCTATGTGGTCGATACTTTTGAAGGATAGAAGTGAGGCATATGAGAAGTTTAAAGCATTCAAGCACATTGTTGAGAAGGACATTAACAAGGAGATACTAACACTTCGAACAGACAAAGTTGGAGAGTTTACGTCAAGAGAATTCCAAGATTTCTGCAACAACAGTGGCATAAGACGTCATCTAACTGCCCCATACACGCCGCAACAGAACAGTGTAGTTGAAAGACGAAATTGTACACTTATGGAGATGTCACGAAGCATACTAAAAGCCATGAGTGTTCCAAATTACATGTGGGCGGAAGCTGTTCATCATGCTACTTATTTGATCAACTGTGTGCCTACAAGGGCATTGAAGAACATGACCCCATATGAGAGTCTAAAAGGAAGGAAGCCGAGCATCAGTCACATAAGGGTATTTGGTTGTGTTGCTCATGCAGAGATAGACTTATCTCTTTTGAAAAAGCTTGACGATCGATCACAAACATTAGTACATCTCGGCATAGAACCAGGGTCAAAGGCTTATAGACTATATAATCCTACTACAAGACGCATACTAGTCATCCGTGATGTGATCTTTAACGAGAAATCCCCTTGGAATTGGAAAAGAGAAGATAAGGAGGAAACAAGTTAGCCTGGTATGTTTCAATTCTCATAGGGAGAAACAATGGATGATGGTAATGGTTCGTTTGTTATTGGAACACAACAAGAAGAAGCCAAAGATGGAAGTAATGACGAAGTTACGGAGGATCATGATCAAGAAGATGTAGAAACAAGGTCCATTGTTACATAGAACCCTGAACCTAGAAGATCAACACGCCATTTAAATCGTCCAAGCTATCTAGATGATAACGTTCTTATGGCTGCTATAGAGTGTGAAATTATACTTCTCTCACTCAACGATGAACCATATAATTATCAGGAGGCAAGCAAAAGCAAGCAATGAAAGGCAGATTGATTCAATTAACAAGAATGAGACTTGGATGTTGGTTGATAAGCTGCCTGGAGTAAAGGTCATAGGTCTTAAATGGGTTTTTAAGATAAAGCGAATTGCAGATGGAATAATCTACAAGTTCAAATCAAGGTTAATTTCGAAAAGATACGCACAAGAAATTGTTATTGATTTCGATGGGGTGTTTGCCCCTGTAGCACACATTGAGACAATCAGATTTCTAATAGCCTTAGCTGCTGCGAGTGGGTGGGAAATTCACCACTTGGATGTCAAAACAGCATTTATACATGGAGAATTAAACGTAGACGTATATGTAGCACTGCCCAAAGGATTTGACAAAAGGGGAGAAGAACACAAAGTCTACAAACTATCTAAAGCGTTGTATAGACTTCGACAAACTCCAAGGACATGGAACACGAAGCTTGATCAGGTCTTGAAGAGCTTGAGCTTTATAAAGTGCTCAAAAGAAAGTTCAGTTTATTGGAAGGAAAAAGGAAAGAGACTTCTGATAGTTGCTATCTATGTTGATGACCTTTTCGTGACCGGAAATACTCATAGCTCGATTATGGAGTTCAAGGCATCTATGGCGAAGAAATTTGAAATGTCAGATCTTGGTAAACTGACCTACTACCTTGGTATCAAATTAAGACAAGGCTCAGATGGAATTGAGATCAAACAAGAGGCATACGCACGACGTATACTAGAAGAAGCAGGGATGGACACTTGCAACTCAACATACATACCAATGGATTTCGGTCTAAGCTACAGAAGAAGCCGAGATTGATGCAACCACTTATAGAAGAAGGATAGGATGTCTAAAGTATTTCTTACACACAAGACCAGACCTAGCATTCTCTGTTGGCATACTAAGCAGGTATATGCACTCTCCTCGTACATCTCATGTAACCGCTCTAAAGAGAGTTTTGAAGTATCTACAAGGTACTATGAGTTACGGCTTGAACTTTAAGAAAGGAGGATCTTTGATACTAACAGTATGTAGTGACAGTAGTCACAACACGGATCCTGATGACGGAAAAAGTAAAACTGGTCACTTGTTTTGTTTTGGAAAAACACCCATTACGTGGCGTTCTCAGAAACAAGATAATGTGGCTCTCTCATCTTGTGAAGCTGAGTTTATGGCTGCAACGAAAGCTGCAAAGAAATCACAGGAAGGAAGTATGTGAAGAAGATGATTTGTGTAGACAATAAGTCAGCTATCTCCTTAACTAAGAATCCAGTTTTCCACCGGAGGAGTAAGCATATTCATAAGAAATATCACTTTATACGAGAATTCATTGTAAGAAATCAGATTGACGTTGAGTATGTCCCCGGAAAGAACCAACTAGCCGACGTACTCACTAAGGCATTGGTAAGGATTCAGTTCATGGAAATGAGGGAGAGGATTGGTGTTCTCAACCTAAGCAAAGATAAGTTGAAGTTTAAGGGGGAGAATGTTGAGTAATCTTCAAGTAAAAAGGAAAGTTGTTATCTTTAAAGTGAATTAGGATAAGAATATCTAATAGTATTAGGAAAAAATAAATACCTATTACAAATAGATTGAGGAATAGTAAAGGACCTCTATCCCTATGTAAGTAAGTCATCGATATGTGATGTCTACTAAGGAAGACTAAAGCTTGTTGTTTTGTTTTGAGAAGGAAAACTTTCTAAACATCAATAAAACAAAGAACCTTTTTATAAAGCTTTTGTGTTCGTATTATTTGACTTTAGTGTCTAATGTGAGATGGACATTTCATGTTGATTTATATGTTTTAAATAAATTTTGTTATCAACATATATAGACAAAATAAAGTGATTGTCTCCTTGCACTTCGTGCTAGGTTATACGCCTTTGTATTTTGAGTCTTTGGAATATATTTGATTCCTACAAACATGAAACTTTCCGCTAATCTTTGTATTTCCTCCAGGTATGTTATAAAGGCTGGCCATTATTTGGGTTCAGAAATAATCTTCATGAACTAAGAACAATATGTTGCAAAAGTGACATGAAATTGTCTAAGAGATTTCATACTTTCCAAAATGAATGCTTCAATTTCCGAATGTAATGCTTATAAGCATCTTCTTATATTTCTCACTCCCATTAATATTTTAAAACCCTCTAATGTGTTGTACAACCCAAACCTGAACATATATCATTCTCTTTCCATGATCTGTCCGTAAAACACCATGGTCCCAATCGACATGGTGAACTGAATGTTTCGTTAGCTCCCCTTTTATGCGGGTTGTTTTATAGACGAGTTCACATATGCCAGAATCCCCCATTGCATAGGATCGTCTCTTTTTCTGCCATCTGCAGAGTATCCCTTAGACTCTTGTTTGTCAATATTATTAAAAAAAATTATCACTCTGCCCCTTCCAAATATACCATAAAATCTAAGAAAATGAATGTCTTTAACATATGGTTTAATCTTTCAAAATAGAAAATTAATATTAACATAAACGAATTTTGTTAGAGAGGTGACTGAATTCTTTGGGATTCTTGAGAGAGGTGATACTTGAATTGTTGGTGGACATTCAAATAAAACGTGATTTATAGATTTCTCTCTTATTGCACATCTTTCACAGTGTATATCACATTATTATTCCTCTATCATTAAGATTACTTTTCATTGGTAAAATTCCGTAATAATTTGCCAAAGAAAATATCTCAACTTTAGGGAGTATCTAACCTTCAAGAAAAAGCTTGGAGGGCCTTAGTATCATGACCAAAAAGTGGTGTTTGAAATGCTCTATCTGGATATAGTTTTTCCACTCCCTATCTGAATTTAACAGGATACCTTCTAGATTGTGTAAAATGTCATCTATTTTTTCTACTTTGTCCAAAATAACGAAAAAATTTCAAAAATTAAACTTAATAAGAAAATTACAATCACAATAAATTAGATATATAGTTTTATTTGAATCTAACACACGAGAACACAAATATACTTTATATTGTTGAATTTAGAACTTTCACAACTAAAACAATACCAATATATAATCATAATGAGTTTGAATATATATATTTTAATTTGGTAAACACACGAAAAAAGAAATAAAAACATCAAAAACTTAATAATTTATGTCTTCCTTTTCTAGAGAGAAATGAAACCATAAAAGTATAAATTTAAGCTAAAATAATAAGCAACAATCACAGAATCTATAACTTTATTCGAATTTAACACACAAAAAAACACAAAATATTTGGTGAAAATAAATTCTTACCAATTTACCTAGACTCCTGAATAAGTCTACTAATGAAATCTTCTAATGAATTTCAAATTCCGATATATCATCATCACATCCATATATGGATTTAAAAAAAAATACTAATTTGGTAAGTATAATATATAACTTTTACTAACAATAAATGTAGGAATTTAAAGAATCATTTAAAAATATGAAACTCTAAAATTAAAATATTTTCTCTAATTTCAGTATTTACTACAACTACAAAAAAAAATAATTATACTATTATACTTTTAGAACTCAACTATTTTTTAATCTCAAACAGTATCATCAGAAATAAAACAAACAAACAAAAAAAATTAGGCAACATGATAAACACAAAACTGAAAATAAATATATACTCTTTATCCAATTAAATTTTGTAAAATAATAATTAGGCAACTTTCAATCATGAATCAAATCTAATTTTCATTAAAATAAATAAATTATATACATTAAAAATAAGCTACTATATAAAACATTTGATATTTTATGAAACGCTCTCTCTCTAGATCATTTTTTCTTGCGATCTTTGTCTCGCCTCTATGGCGGCCGAATCCGATAACGGTGTGAGAGATCTTTCTTTTCTTTTCTTTCTTTCTTTGTTTGCCTTGGTCTTCATGTGGTTCTCATTTTTTTAACGAAATTTCTGTGAATTTAGATCTCATGTGGTGGTGGTTGCCCGGCTATCTGGGAGCTTCACCAAGGCTCTGGCTTCATGTTCTGGTTATGTGGGTCAGATCCAAAGCGTGATACCCCAAACTATCCTCGGTATCTCTTCTAGATCCACAACTGTTTCGAGCTCCATCGTTAAGAAGCGCGGTGCATTTGTTCTCCTCGAGGCGAAGGATTGATGTGGTGGTAGTTTGTTCTTCTGATCTGGCCCTCTGTTGATTTCTTCCCTTTACTTGGATTGACTGAGCTCGTGGGGGAGTCTTTTAGAGGTGGTGGATGCGAGTGGGTTACGGGGTACATTTCTCGCATATCCAAGCGCGTGCTCCATACTGGTGAAGCCGTAGAGATCTGCTTGTTTCTTCTTTGCCCTGCGATTTTCTTGTTTATTTCATGTTTTTTCAACTAGTGAGTCGATTTTGTTTGTTTTATGATGGACTCTTGACCTCTTTATGTTTTTTTTTTGTTGTTTCTCTCCGGTGGAAGTAGCTCCACTCTTCCAGTTGGGTGTTTCAGCTTGAGGTTGAACTACAGTTGATGTGGCGGCCTCTTCGGTGATGGATTCGGCGGGTTCGTATGGCGACATATTTCATCGTTTTTTGCTCCATTAGGTTTTTGGTAATTAGAATTTTGTGTTCCCTCTAGTTTCATCCAAATCAGTTAAAGAAGTTTCGTCTTTTTTCTCATTTTTTATTATATTTTCATTTTTTACATGTCATCGTTTATTATAATTAAAAACTCAAAAATAATATGAAAAAGGAATATACATGCACTGAATCAGATATTTCAACATAGATGATTTTTTAGCGTTAATTTGGACAATGGACTCCATGATTCAGCACACAAATTGTTCCACTTTAGGACACACTAGAAAGATATTTTATCAATGATACATAATTAAAAAGCATGACCTAGCTTTTCAACGGAGCTGGAAGAGATAACAATCCTTAAGAGATAATTTCCAGATTTCAAGATTTTTTATATACCAAGAGAACATAATCGGACATCAGATGGTCTAAGCTAAGATAGCTCGTACTTTTCATCGTGATACAACTTTTGTTGATTGTTCAATACTGTTTTAGGTAATAGAATAGTTTGTTGATGTGAAAGACAAAACATAATGATTCCATAAAGTTTTTGATAAATAAAAGCCAGGGAATATAAAATTCAACTAATTAATCAGTCGTTGAAAACCGACAAAAAAAAATCAGTCGTTGAAAAAAGAAAAAAACTAATTAACCAGTAGTTATAAAAAAGAAAAATTAACTAATTAATTAATGTTCGTTATCCTAAATGTATAAAGGAAGGCAAAATCTTAAGTCTAAGGAGGTTTGATTGATTCTCTCAAAAAGCAAAGACATCGCACCGTCAACTTCTCAGATCTCTCTCTCTCTTCGTTTTTGTTATCTCTCTACCAATGGAGGATATGAGGGTGATAAAAGAAGAGGAACCAAATGAAGAAGAAGAAGAAATATCCGATAAGTTTCTCTGCTGCGTCTGCCTGTAAGTGTTCCGGATTTAGAATCATAGGTTTGTAGATTTCCTAGTCTAGTCCTGCAATTGATTTCGTTATACTTAATAACTTGGATTCATTGATTGATTGTGCAAACTGAAACTGATCATTAGAAAATGAACTTTTGCGTTGCGCAGGGAACTTCTTTACAAACCAATTGTGCTATGTAAGCTGACTCGACTCACAAGCCGATCTCTTTTTCTGTTTGATATCTTGATAGATTCTTTTTTTTTTTTTGGATTGCAATTGCAGCGTGTGGTCATCTATTGTGTTTCTGGTGCGTACATAGGTCCATGAGTGGTCTGCGTGTCTCTCATTGCCCCATCTGTAGAGACCCTTATCTTCACTTCCCCACTGTCTGCCAAAAGCTTCACTTCCTCCTGAAAAAGTTATACCCGATTGCCCATAACAAGAGGGAAGCACAACTTTTAAGTGAGTTCTCTCCTTTTCTTTGCTTACACTTTCTCTATGTTGTTGGGTTTATAGTGTATGTTTTAATGTCATGTTTCCAGAGGATGAACAAGCACTGGAGTGTTTCTCTCCTCAGATTGATCAACCAAAGGCTAAGCTTCAGTCCCCAACTGTCTCTGGTGAGTGTATTTATTTACACATGAGATTTTTTCTAGTAAACTGTTTTATGCTTACGACGATTCTATTGTATTTAGATGAGGGGAAGGTTGAAGCTTGCTCTAATCCAGCAGTAAGGTTATTATCCAGCAATGAAGAACCCCTAGAAGATACAAAAACTGTTAACATTCATGAGAATGGCAAGTTCAGTCAGCAAATTTCAAAAGAGGATTTGCTCTGTTCAGCCTGTAAGGAGCTGCTCGTGCGACCCGTGGTTCTCAATTGCGGACATGGTATCATCATCATCTTACATTGTTTTGCTTGCTGGGTTTTCCCTTTAATTATGTGCTTATATCCTGTCTCATTCTTTTTTTTACAGTGTATTGCGAAGGTTGTGTAGTAGATATGATGGATCAAGAGAGCGAAAAGATCAAATGCAAAGAGTGTCATGTCTGTGACCCGAGAAGATTTCCGAAAGTTTGTTTGGCTCTTGAGCAGCTTTTGGAGGAAAATTTTCCTGACGAATACAATTCAAGGACAAGTGGGATTCAGAAAACGCTTGCTCACGATAGCATAGGAAGTAAGTTGTTGCTATTGTTACATTGTGAGAAATCTATGTACACAAGAGATTCATAGTTTTGTAATCATTGACATGTAGATTTTCAAAACTATCACAAAGAAGCCACATCCTCATCAGACAACAACAACAATGGTCTTCCAAGGTGGGCAAACCCTGCCTGCAATGTTCACATCGGAGTTGGTTGTGATTCTTGCGGAGTAAGTTCATTATTATATTATTCTAAACAGAGTTGATTTCTTTGTAGTTCATTATTCTGATTGGTGATGTCATATTTGCAGGTGTATCCAATCATCGGGGAACGATACAGATGCAAAGACTGCAAGGAGAAAATGGGGTATGACCTTTGCAAAGACTGTTACGAGACTCCTTCTAAAGTTCCCGGGAGATTCAACCAGCAACACACTCCTGACCACAGGTTTAAGCGTGCATCGTCTCGTCAGCTTCCACTCAATCTCAATTCTGTCGGTATTCTTCTGGGACCTATGGTCCGTGAAGGCATTAATGCACAAGGTAGTGATGAGAGCGAAGAAGGGCCTCGTGATTCTAATGAGTCATCATCACCAAGCACAGAATGAAATACCAATCTTGAGTATATTGGTATCTAATGAAGATACTTGTTGAAACATGGTTTGCGTTTGTGTTCGTATTAGTTTATAATAGCTATCTTTTTTCTTATTGATACTGTGTAGTACTCTCGTGTGTAAGCGAGATTGAGATTGGGCTTCTTCACACGTGTAACTGTACCAACTCACACAGCCTGCTGAAAGTAATATGCGTCAAACTAGATGTCATCTGGTTGCAACAGCAGCTGCGTTTGGGTTCTTGGTTCATGTAAATATGTCAGCTCTTTTGATTATTCGTTCATCCGATGAACCAAAACAACCAAATAATGATGTCAATTCTTATTAATTACTACATAAGCGTTTAACACCACCCTGCATCTTGTCTGACACTAGAATCAGATGATATCTAACCTTCTAGGTTTTGTCAGTCTTAACACATGTAGTAATATAACTTACCAATCATGCGTTGGTGATTCAGTATATTGGATTTTTTTTTTAGTATTTTGGTTTAGGTTATTGAATCCTTCTTATATCCAATAGTGTGAAGCAAAACTGTCGGAAAGCAAGTCATGGCAAGAAAAAACATGTTTAGAATAATTTTGCAGCCTTAGATTACAACATGAGTTTACTAGTCTGCAAAAGTTACAACACCTGTCCTAAGCAACTACTAAGCTTTCATGGAATTGCAGGTCCAGTACTACTAAACCTTGGCCTGGTTTCAGACATTTCAACTTCATAAACACCTTTGGTTTGAGAAGCTTCCATGGCCATCCTTGTGATTCTCGCCTGTTGAATTGCTTGCAACTCATATCTGCAAAAACAATTTTCAAAAATAACCAATGATATAGTTTCAAACAGAAATTCCACACATGGAGGCATGCATCTGAAAGGAAAGTAGTTACTTTGCAACAAGGTTCCTGACAAGTTTGAAGTATATCTTCCAAAAGTGATCTTCCTTTAAGAGACGTGGGCATAGCTTAAATCTCAACTGTGAGAGTTCCTGCAAAATACCAAAACCAAATCTTGTTCAGCTTCTAAAGCATTCGGTACAAAATAATATTGAACAGATGGTCAAACATGCCATTCCTAGTTAAACATAAGCCTCAGCAGATCACAAGCAAATCAACCATTCATTTAAGACAAAGAGATGAATCAGAAACCTTGGATTTGGACAAGACTAGAACAGCGTGTCTCTCCTGCCAATCAGACAAATCCTTCTTCACATTCTCGGAGGAGCTCACTCCATCATCTTCTTCATCTTCCAAAGGATTTACACACGCTTCTTCGTCTAGTTTCAGAAACATAAGCCCCATCACTAATTCTTCTTTGTTATCAATCGAGAAAAGCAGCACACTGAAAAAAAAAAATAAAAATTTTGGTATTCGAAGACGTAATTACCGTAGAGAGAGAAGTTCTTAAAAGTGTCTATGGTGAAGGATCTGACGTGATCGATCAATTCATCAGTCACTCCAAGCAAATCATCTTCGTTCTTCCCGCTCGATGATGATCCATTTACACTGGGAAGTTTCTTCTTCTCCTTCTCCTCTCTGAAGAAACTTCGTCGAATCCTCGAAGCTATATTCATTGAAGTGTCCGTCTCTGGTGACAGAAGAAGAAATCGAATCCCTTGGAGAAGACAAAGGAAAGAGAGTTAAGGTAAGAGGCTTTTATTGGGCCTAAATCTAATACCAAAAGCCCATTAACATTAGGTTTAAGAAGAGAAACCCTAATTGTTTCTTACCAGCCGCGTCATATATAAACCACCACTGAGCCTACATCTTAACCTTCTCGAAGGAAGAAGCAGCCGTCAGTATCAATCGAGAGATGGTGTCTGGTTCAGGGATATGCACGAAGCGTGTCGTGGTCGACGCAAGGCACCACATGTTGGGGCGTCTTGCTTCCATCATCGCTAAGGAGTTGCTCAACGGACAGAAAGTTGTCGTTGTCCGATGCGAAGAGATTTGTCTCTCAGGTGGATTGGTTCGACAGAAGATGAAGTACATGAGGTTTATGAGGAAACGCATGAACACTAAACCTTCTCACGGTCCCATCCACTTCAGGGCTCCCTCTAAGATCTTCTGGCGTACTGTTCGTGGGTTCGTTTCCTAAACTTTTCTTAACTTAGAACGTGTTGATCTTTCTAATCTTGAAAATGAAGATCCGAGTTAGACCATTTTGATATCAATGCAAGACAATAACGATATCACTTACAAGTATTGTTGTGTCCCAGAATGTTTGAAAATGTATTAAGTGGAAATGTTTGTGTTGTGTCCGCAGGATGATTCCACACAAGACCAAGCGTGGAGCTGCTGCTCTTGCACGCTTGAAGGTTTTTGAAGGAGTGCCACCTCCTTATGACAAGGTCAAGAGGATGGTCATTCCTGATGCTCTCAAGTAAAAACAATCCTCAAACTTTTCCTAGATAATGCCCAATGCGTTTCAGCTATCAACTGGTTTCATTTTGTCTTGCTTAGGGTGTTGAGACTCCAGGCTGGACACAAGTACTGCTTGTTGGGCCGTCTTTCTTCTGAAGTTGGCTGGAACCATTACGACACCATCAAGGTATGTTTCTTTTATGTATATAAAGTTTAGGGAACAAAAGTTTTCTTCATTTACGTTTTTTTTCATAAATATGATATAATTTTTGAAGAACCCTCAATGAGTAGAGTTGATGATGAATGAAATTATTCTGTATGTCTTTTGAGTATTAGCATGACCAGATAAGCTGGGGTGGTAGGTTTGCTTTGTCAATTGCATTTTACTGCAACATTTCTTTTATGGTTAGAATGTTAAGTTGATTAAGTAAAAAGAAAATGATATGGTAATCGCTGCGGGTGTTTTAACTCATAACTTAGGAGCATATAATTGTAAAATCATTTTTAGTTGTGGACATGATCATCTGAAAGAAACCGGGATTAACCTTTTGTATACTGATATAACAGGAGCTTGAGGTGAAAAGAAAGGAGAGGTCACAGGCTGTGTATGAGCGTAAGAAACAGCTCATCAAGCTCAGAACAAAGGCAGAGAAGGTTGCAGAGGAGAAACTTGGTGCCCAGCTCGATGTTCTTGCGCCAATTAAGTACTGAGAATTTGCATCTATCTTTTGTTTTAATACTTGCTGCGTTTGTGCTCGTCTCGATTCTACCTTTGAATTTCGGTTTCGCATTTGGTAGCTTGTAAACGTAAAGATTGGAGAATGAGACATTTTGGTTTTTTGATTGAACAATCTGTTATGTTTCTATTAATTCTTGTTTCGATTAACAAAACAAATTGATGGTAAAAATGCTTTTGAACTTACAATAAGTTAACTCCGCAATTTTTCTTAGACTAGCCGTAACGTAATCACTGCAATAAAATTACCGAAGCATTGACTAACAAAACAAATGTAGACTCGGTTTATGTCACCGATCGTTTTCGGTTTAATTTCTCTCTTACCAACTAAGTAAAACCGGTTAAGGCTATAAAAAAAGGCGGACCAAACTAACGTGTAGCGATAAAGTAGGGATAACTGATTTTTTATGCCAATATCATCGTCTCTTTAAGCTAACTAGAGGCTTTGATTATGTATTTTAAATTTTATAATTTATAACTATATGAATTATGTTATTATACTTTAATTATGTGTATAATTTTATCTTTGTTTTTAATATACTTATTTTCTCATATATTAGATATAAATATATTTTATGTTTGTATCACACAATTTAATAATTAACAATTGGGTCTAATTGGTAATGGCTGTGGTTTTAAAATTTTTGATGTAGAAAAAAATCTGTAGACTTTTTGTTATGGTTTTAGATTTTATTGTTGTAGATTTTTTGGAAAGCACTAAAAATGCTTTGGATATTTGGCTCTGCAGAACACTTGTATAGCTGTAGATCATTTCAATAGTTGTGGTGTCAAAAAAAAATTATAGCTTGATTTCTTTGAATTTACTGCTGTAGAAATAAATATGGTTGTGGACAGTACCTAAAGCAACTACCAATCACCCCCAATAGTTTCTTTTTCTATAGATAAATTATTATTTTCATATTTTATACTAATTTAAAATTTGACATATTTTTACCTAAAAATAAAAGTGTGTAGGTGTTATTTGAAAACCGGGTGGTTGATACAACTGAAGAAGCTGACTCACAAGAAGGAACATCACAAGAGCCAATCAAGGGGCACAAGAACCACCCTTCAGATGATGTCATTGGAGGTTTGCTGGACCCAAGAATCACAAGGAAAAAGCAAATCGATTTCAAGGAAATGGTCAAACCCGCATGCCTCATGGCGGAAATGGCTAAAGAAGATTTCTTTATCTCACAAACCCAACCGAAAAACCTGCAAGAAGCTTTAGATGATGAGTTTTGGACAGCCTCAACGCACTAGGAAATGGAATAGTTTGTGAGACTTCAAGTGTGGGATCTAGTTCCTAGACCAGAGGGTGTAAATATGGTTGGAACCAAGTGGATATACAAGATCAAGACTGATGAAAATGGCAATCCGATTAGGAACAAGGCCAGGCTGATTGGTCAAGGTTATTCGCAGATTGAGGGAGTGAATTTTGATGAGACTTTTGCTTCAGTAGCTCGCCTTGAGTCAATCAGACTTCTATTTGCAATTGCATGCAAGCTGAGAATCAAGCTACACCAGATGGATGTCAAGAATGCATTTCTCAATGGACTGTTACAAGAGGAAGTTTATGTGGCACAACCCAAAGGCTTTGAGGATCCACACTTTCCAGACCATGTGTATCGTCTAAAAAGAGCACTCTATGGCCTAAAACAGGCACCAAGGGCGTGGTATGAACGACTTGCACAGTTCTTGATCTCTGCAGGTTTCAACAGAGGAGAGGTGGACAAAACCATATTCACTCAACATGAAGAAGGCAATCTCCTTGTGGTGCAAGTGTATGTAGACGACATCATCTTCAGAAGCACTTCAAAGAGATTGGTAGATGAGTTTGTGAAGACTATGACAAGAATATTTGAAATGAGTAAGGTGGGAGAGCTCACCTACTTCCTTGGTTTACAGATAAGACAAATGGAGGATGAAATATTTTTCTCACAAAGTACCTATGCAAAGAATCTGGTGAAAAGATTTGGGATGCAAACCAGCAAGACTACTAGGACTCCTATGAGCACCACAACCAAGTTCTCGCGTGATGAGGCAGGACAAAAGGTAGAGGAGAAACTCTACAGAGCAATGATAGGTAGTCTTCTCTATCTCACTGCCAGTCGACCAGACTTGTGTCTAAGTGTCGGAATTTGTGCTCGATACCAGGCAGCCCCTAAAGAGTCACACCTAAAAGCGGTAAAACGTATCATCAAATATGTAAAAGGGACACTAGATTTTGGGCTCCATTATACCTTTGAAACTAATGTGAACCTTGCAGGATACTATGATGCAGATTGGGCAGGTTGTGTTGATGATCGGAGAAGCACTTCTGGTGGTTGTTTCTTTCTCGGTAACAACATGGTGTCTTGGCACAGCAAGTAGCAAAACTGTGTTTCTCTTTCTACAGATGAGGCTGAGTACATTGCCTTAGGGAGTTGCTGCACTCAACTTCTCTGGATGAGACAAACGCTGGTGGACGATGGTATTAATTCTGACCCTCTATTAGTCCACTGTGATAACATGAGTGCAATAAATCTGTCTAAAAATTATGTGCAACACTCTCGTACTAAGCATGTTAATCTTAGACACTACTTTGTTCGTGAGTTGGTTGAGTTAAAACTTGTGGTCATTGAACATGTTTCTTCTGAGAATCAACTTGCTGATATTTTCACAAAGCCTCTTGATTTTAATAGCTTTTTGGGTCTCCGAAAAGCTCTTGGAATCGTTGACCTTCAGCAATGAAGAAAGCTGTTAAGACGAGAAGGTAAGTTCATACTGAAATCGCATGTGTCAAAGGTACAGTCTCCTTCAAAACCTTACAGTAACAGTTTGTCTTGTTGAAATCATGATATTGTCTTATAAGTTGTCATAATCACACTGTCTCATAGAGAAGGACACTCACTTAGGATCAGGATGCAAACACATTTTGAAACTAAGGGCGGATCACTGTCTGGAGTGGATGGAGAAAACACTAGTCGTGTCCTGTGTAACACACCCAATAATGTGTGTTACACAATTAACTCATGTTTTTGCAAGAGGAGAAAAGCCTAAAATGATGAGTACTCGTTCTGAATCAGGGTGCTACAACACTTTGTCTTTTGGTGACGATCACTGCTTTGATTAGGCAGAGACTCTTGTCTCTGAAGGATTGAATTCAAGAAGAAGAAGAAAACTCATACAAAGGCCTGAAGTGATAAGCACTCGCCGTGGATTAGGGTATTACCATACTCTAAGTCTGTGGTGATCATTGTTTTGATCAGGCTAGAACTGAAATATGTTTCTGATGTTGATAAAAAATAAAAAAATAAATAATGAAAAATGAATGATGAAAAGATTCACTGAAGTTGCAGAAGTGAACATTGATTAACATGACTAGTGGTTTCAGAAGCGTGTGATTGTGTTTAACTTTTGAGATGGGAGCTTGATCTTCTTACTAGATGAATCCGTTTATGACAGCTACTCAGCTGAGAAATAGCTACTGAATGGAGTTACT